TGGTTTCACTCACAATCACTCTTTTTTCCTTATGGGTAACATCTATGGATACAACAATGTTAACAGATTTTGACAACACCAACACTACCTGAACTTCACTAGAAAATGTAATTAAACTAGTAATATACTTCTCAGCACTGTGCACTCAACAGTTTACACAGACAAGTGCACAACACTCAGGTCACATGCTGTAAAATGTTCTACATACATATGTGCATCTGTATGTGTTTGGTTAAGTGTCAGGGGTTTTTTATTTTTTTTATTTTTATTTTTTTCATTTAATAGCATAAAGGATGTCATTATTATAATTTAAGGTTTGCATAATCGTTCCTTTCCGTGCAATGCATGAAGGTTAATTTTGGACTGAACTGAATGTGACAGGGGCTGCAAGATGGCTCAGTGGTTAGCACCGTCGCCTCCCAGGATGGACAGGATCTGTCTGCGTGGAGTTTGCATGTTCTCCCCATGCAGCGTGGGTTCTCTCTGGTTTCTCCAGATTCCTCCCACAGCTTCCTTCCAAAACATGCTGAGATTAATTGGTGATTCTAAGGTGTGAATGTGAGTGTGCTTGTTTGTCTCTCTGTGTAGCCCTCTAATAGACTGGTGACCTGTTCAGGGTGTCCCCTGCCTTTGCCCCTTTGTCCAGTATGGACAGTGTGCAACGAAAGGAATAAAATCTTGGACCTGCTGTATGCCGTGATGGAGGCATACAGCTCTTCTTCTCTCTCACCTCTTGGAGATTCTGGCCACAACCTGATACACCTTGAAACCACCTACAGGCCACTGGTGAAACAACAAGTGGCCAGTTCAAGGTATGTGAAGGTCTGGTCTCGGGACACCGAGGAGGCCCTCCAGGAGTGCTTCAATGTCACAGACTGGGAGCTGGTTCAGGAGGACCATGGTAAGGACACTGAGGGTCTCTCCCTGCATAACGGACTACATACAGTTCTGTGAGGACACCATTGTAACATCCAAAAAGGTTTTACTGCTTTCCAAACAATAAGCCATGGATTAATAAGGAGACTAAAAGCCTTCTTAACATCAAGAAGAGGGCCTTCATCTCAAAGGACAGTGAGGCAATCACTATTGTATTCTTTGTGTGCCACTGTCTTGTGCTGTTGCAATGCCTGAATTTCCCCTATGGTGATGAATTAAGTCTTATCTTGTCTTATCTTATCTTGGTTCCTTCCCATCATTGCTGACTGCTTGCTCATGGGGCACCCAAAATCAGCTTCAAAATTTGTAAGGTGTATACCTTGATGACATATGCTGTAAATTTGTGTAATCTAAATAAAATTGAATTCAATTCAATTAAACTGAAAAGAAACAAAGAGAAATTAAGAACTGAAAGACGAGATCATTAGTTTGAAAAGCAAGTATGGAAATATGAATAAGCAGAACACCTCAAAGACTGCAAATCCAGACAGCCAAGAAGTTAAAACCAAAGAATGTACAAGGTCAGCAAGTCAACACTCAAGTCAGAAAGGTCCCTTTTTAATTACAATATCACAGAAACTAGTGTAGTTAAGTCTCATGTATTAAACTCTTTATCTAAAAGCTCAAGTTAAAAGATACAGTCACAATCGTCTGTTCAAAACAGAAATGTACCATTTTACGACAATGTCTCAGAGTGTATAAAACAAGAACAGAAAACCTATAAAATTTATTTTCGTTACAAGCAGGAAGCTAAAAACAATCCAAGTTCTTTAATATGGTAGGACACACACACACACACACACACACACACACACACACACACAGTTCAGTAGCAGGAGGTGGAGCAGCACTGAATAGAGGGGGAGTAATTCAGATACTTCCTTGTTTATAACCCAGAGTAGCTCGGGGCAACTGCTGAACTGCAACCAACATGAGTTTCTGTATTTGGGCATTAAGACTTCATTAAGATCATCAGGCTTTTCTCCTTCAGCATTTCTTCAACTCACACGGTAGGATCAGTTATAGTTACCTGTTAAACATCACCATTAACACACACATGACTCACCCACACACACACGTACTGACACCACCATACTAGACAATATACTTTACATGTTTACATGAAGACTATTGTAAATATCTAATTAGTGTTTCAAGTATACCAGTAATTTAAAACATATGTTATAATATTATACTGTGTCGAAGATTCATTCACTTTTACTTTCACTTTACTTTTTACTAGTGTTCTCGGTGAATCAGGATGTCAGCAACCAGCTGTGTGCTGTCTGAAGAGCAGTTTCTATGCTGCATCTGTCTGGATGTTTTTACTGATCCTGTCACGATACCATGTGGACACAACTTCTGCAAAAACTGCATTACACAACACTGGAATGTTAACAGTGCTCGATGCCAGTGTCCCATGTGTAAAAAACAATTTACAACACGACCTGAACTGCCTGTCAATACTTTCATTTCTGAGATGGCTGCTGAGTTCAAGCAGTCGGTGAAACAGAAAGGAAGCGATGTCTCAGAGATGCAAGTTGCCAAACCAGGAGAAATCCCCTGTGACGTCTGCACTGGAACCAAACTTAGGGCTGTGAAATCATGCCTGACCTGTTTCGCGTCCTACTGCGTTATTCATCTGGATCCTCATCAGACATCTGATCGCTTGAGAACACATTTGCTGACAAATCCTGTGGAGAACATGGAAGGGAGGGTGTGTACGAAGCACAAAAAACCACTGGAGCTGTTCTGTAAGACTGACCAGACATGTGTGTGCTCACAGTGCACCGTTACAGAACATGTGTCACACAACATTGCTTCTCTGAAAGATGAATATGAAGAAAAGAAGGCTGAGCTGGAGCAGGCAGAGGCTAACATCCAGCAGATGATCCAGCACAGACAGCTTAGGTGTCAGAGGATTAAACTGTTGAAAATACACAGTAAGAAAGACGCAGAGACAGAGATTGCAAACGGTGTTCGGATCTTCACCATTCTGATGCAGACTGCAGAGAGAGATCTGAACGAGCTCATTGAGATGATTGAAGAGAGGCAGAAGAGGACAGAGGACGAAGCAGACCGCTACATCACAGAGCTGGAGCAAGAAATCTCTGTACTGATAAAGAGAAGTGCTGAGGTGCAGCAGCTCTCATGCACTGAGGACCATCTTCACCTCCTCCAAAACTTCACAAGCACAAGCACTGCCCTGCACACCAAGAACTGGACAACGGTCAGTGTCTGTCCACCGCTATATGAGGGGACAGTGGTGGAAGCTGTAGCTAAGCTGGAGGAGACACTTGGCAGAGAGAAGGAGCAGCTGCTTCGTGTAGCCAGACTGAGGAGGGTCCAACATTATGCTGTAGATCTGATTCTTGAACCTAACACAGCTAATCCCTGGCTCATCCTGTCTGATGATGGGAAGCAAGTTAGGTGTGGTGAGGTAAGGAGGGACCTGCCAGACAACGAAGAGAGATTTTCTCTTTACAACAATGTGTTGGCACAGCAGAGTTTCTCTTCTGGAAGATTTTACTATGAGGTTCAGGTTACAGGGAAGACAGACTGGACTCTAGGAGTAGCCAAAGAGTCAGTGAACAGGAAGGGAATAATCCCACTAAGCCCTGTGAATGGCTACTGGGCTGTGGGTTTGAGGAATGGAAGTGAGTATCTAGCTCTGAGCAGTCCGGTTGTCAGTCTCAGTCTGAACTTGAGGCCACAGAGGGTGGGAGTTTTTGTGAGTTATGAGGAGGGACTGGTCTCTTTTTATGATGTAGATGAAGCAGTCCATCTCTCCTCCTTCACTGATTGTTGTTTCACTGAGAAACTCTTCCCTTTCTTCAGTCCTGGTCTTAATCATGGTGGTGCGAACTCTGATCCTCTGATAATTTTACCTGTCAACCACACTGATTAGACTTTTCTGTGAAATGACTTTTGTAGTTTTAAAAGAGGAAGTCAAAGGATCAACCCCCCAGTCGCTGCTTGCCTTCATTATGCCCCTTGTTCGTACTGTCTGCTCCAAGATCCCTTTCGCGCTTCTAATGTAAGCAGTGTAACCCCCTTAAATCAAGAGCAGATCCTCCAGAGATAGTTTGCAGCAACTTCCCTTTTTGTGTTGATACACTTCCACAGGGGCCTAGCACAGAAACACAGGGGAAAACAAACAGGAAAAAATGTTCTGCTCATAATTTACTTTGCAAGTTATCCTCTTGATTTGCCTAACATGGACCAGTGAAGCTTCCTATCACAGTCACACTGCATATGTGTTTTTTGCCTTAACTTACCCTTGTGAGGTCAATTTTAATTGCACATTCTAAAATGTACAGAATAATGACACCAGCAATTGGTACCTTATAAGCTTCATTTTTATGAGGCAGTTCTGTCTGATATGGGTTCAAAACATGAAATTTACTTTATGGTACAATGTTAGTGCAAAACCAAATCAGGACGAGGAATGTGAGTGTGCTTGGTTGTGTGTCTGTGTGTGGCCCTGTGACGGACTGGCAGCTTGTCCAGGATGTACCCTGACTTCATCTTAAGTTGGATGGGATAGGCTCAAGCCACCCCACAGAGGATTAAACAGTGTATAGATAATGAATGAATGGACAACAAAATGGTAACTTCATTAATTACTTAGAATTATAAATGATTCTCTGATTGATCGGGATCTAACCTTTATCACTAACATCACATTTTTGTTATACTTTTGAGGAGAGAATTGTATTTGTAACTTTTCCTCAGTACAGTGGAAGGTCCCAAGAAAAGAATGATGACTCATGTCATCATGCACCATAAGTTGATGTTTAATCATATTATTCAGTATAACTGATGCATTTGATGATTGTTGCTCTGAGATGCTTGTAGATGTATGTTACACTTGCTGTGCATTCCATTCAGTGACAATGTATTTTAAATTGCACTGCCAACATATTTGGTGTGTTTCACTCTGTATGTTGCAATCTTATGATATCATCTGAATGTGGTTTATTTATTTATTTTTTTTAATGATAATTCCAACATTATAAATGAGGGACTACTACAGTATTGTAACGTCCGGCTGGACGAAGAAAGAGGCAGGAGACGCTGTCAACGTTGTTGCGTTCTTTAATGCTCAACAAAACTAGAACACAGTTACTGTCGGTCGTAACCACACCAAAAAAGAACACCAAACCTAAGCCTATGCGTCTCGGTAACTCTCAGGTCACATTCACGCGCGTTCTCACTCCACAAGTGCACCCGCACGCTCACATCCATCTCACGTTCCTCCGCCCCCTCTCTTCCTCGTCCCCACACATTCGCATACACATACACACAAACTGCCTTCAGTAACAGCACAACAATGAACCTGTCTAGTAACAGTGCAACATAAACTGCAGGGTCACTACAGTATGAATCAGCTGAGGCAGGCTTCCCCTAAATGCATGTAATCAACAATGTGTCTTCAAAGTCATTCATTAGTGCAACTAAAAGAAGCTAAATTAAATCTTTCACATTGTATATTTTATCGTACAGTGTTCTGCATTGTTATATTGTTGAACTACATCTCATACATATAATCCATCCATCCATTATCTATACACCGCTTAATCCTCACTAGGGTCACGGGGGGCTGGAGTCTATCCCAGCTGGCTTAGGGTGAAGGCAGGGGACACCCTGGACAGGTCACCAGTCTATCACAGGGCTACACTTAGAGACAGACAACCAAGCACACTCACATTCACAGCTACAATTTAGAATCACCAACTAACCTCAGCATGTTTTTGGACTGTGGGAGGAAGCTGGAGAACCCGGAGAGAACCCACGCTGCACGGGGAGAACATGCAAACTCCATGCAGCAAGATCCTGGTGTCCCCACCGGGACGTGAACCGGTGACCTTGCTGCGAGACAACGATGTTAGCCACTGAGCCACCTTGCAGCCAGAGAACATTTCTATAATGTATTATTTTATTTTTTTATTTCCATGGGCTGTAACTATTTATGTTCGTGCAGTATAATTAGCAGCATTGCAAAATAATTGTATAGTGTAGCATAGTGCATATGCTGTGATCGCTGAGGTTTGAACCATGACTTATTCTTTCTGAGTTCAGGTTTTGAATGTGATTCGGTAACACTGTTCTTTCAATGTTCTATCAATAAATTAAATTGAAAAGTGCTAATAGGAAGGATCCCACAAATAAGAATCCCAGAGGTAGAGAACACATTCACTACCTGACACTATACTCAGAATCCCATACTGTCTCTGAGAAGTTTTAACGGTCAAAAAATTATGTAATCCAGGGGACTGCTATCAAGATCTTTCATCATTTGATATAATCATTTTTATACTATCCATTATATTTAGGAAAAGTGTATCATGAAGTTGTGTTTTTATGTGTATCTCACCATTATTGCTTCTCTTAATTCTGTAGAGGAGATTATGTAGAACCATGACGGTGGGACGCTGTATGACGTAGAAATTAGAAAAAATCCGTTGTTGGTGCCTGATAGAAATGAATGTCATTATTCTGTTTCACATACAAAAGTCTATTTTCACAGACGACAAAGCTGCTCAACGTTCTGCTTATTCTTGTGATAAGATGTTAACATATAAATAAATATGTATATAGACTGAAGTTCCCTGTATTGCTAAGAAAAATAAAAATAAATAAAAAGCTTGCTATTTTCTGTGTTTTTTAAATTAGTATATTTATTCATGATGACTGTTTTTTCTAGATAATTTATATTTGACTCAACCTCTGATGCGCTGGATAGCACTTAACCTAACTAAGTTAGGTGCTATGAGATATGTGTTGTGAATTGGCACTATATAAATAAAACTGAATGAAACTGATTTAATATGTGCCAATATAAACATTTTTAATAAAGGCACGCTGTCTCCCCCATGTGGGCAGATCAGATAGTGGTTTCCAGCTCTACTATGAAGGGAGGAAGCTGAGCGTCACACTGTATATTACTTCAAAACAGTGATGAAGATTGACATGCCAGTCAATAATTTACTAATAAAATACTAAAATACAAGTTCAGAGTACAGACCTTAAAGCTACCACTTGGCTTTCTTATCAAAATATCATCAAAGCAGAATTGCACCTTTTGCAGATTTACAATTTTTTGCAGAGAGTAGGTCAAGTTGAACTCTTCCTTGATCTGAAGCAACTTAAGAGCATTTGTTGATGGCATGGTCATCTGACATACACGCAACATTTATTACACCAGAACTTCTAATTCCTACTTATCTCTATTGCATTTACGAGAGCTGACATCACTCTTGTACATTTTTGATCATAGGAAAATCAAAAGTTATTTCTTGTCTTCTTAATGCAAGCTATTTCACCACGCTTTAGTTTCTTAATATCAAAGTCAGGACAATGATTCCCGTCTAGTTTATGCTTTAGAGGTGTGACAGTCATCAGTGCTGAGTGTGTGTGTGGGTAGGTTTTGTGGGTGTGTTCTTTTCTCTCCCTCTCTCAAGGTTACACAACCTGTGAAGCAGTCTGTGTGTGAGGGCCAAGGGCACCTGTGGCTGTGCAGTAATGAGGGCTTTCAAAACCTGGGTGCCCTACTCACGGTTGCCAGTGGGCCATGTTAGTGAGCTGTGAGATGGTCTTTGCTCTCAGTTCAGCCAGGCATGTGCATTCTCTGACCTGGCAGACCAGCCTCCTCACTTTTTGGGAAGAAGCTCACTTTCATTTACTGTTATCTTGACTTTGATTGTAAATAAATATATGTTGTTACTTTAGTCAATTCCTCTTCCTTTTACCTATTTTAAATTTCAGCTTTTGTTACTCCTTGCATTCCCTAGATTCACAGTGACACATTTTCAGGTACTTCAGGACGTCCTGCTTTCACAAGATGAGTGCACGAGTTGAACAACTTGTATCTGAGAATGATCTTCCATTCCCTTTTGTCAGTGGCTAAAGCTCTATTTCTGGTAAACATGGATGCTTCATGAGAACCTCTGCAACTTGGTCAAACTTTAACCCTAAGCCTTGGGTTCAGGAAGTTGAGGCTCTCATTAAGTGTCCCAGGATGTTCATCATCCATACAGCAGTTTCAAAACAAAAAACAATTTGTGTTGCAAAAGCACATCAGATAAATTTCCCCAAACTCAGGCAAACCAACTTCCGACTCTTGGGCAACAACTATACCTGCCCTGCAGTTTATTCCCTTGCTCCAAACATTTTTGCAAGCTGCAGTTCAGATGGATCAGGATCTCTCTTTTTAAAAGTTTGAGACTGATCTTCCTTCAAAGGTTCTAATGGGACAATGCATACATCTGAGACATCCAGCATTGGTTTATTGATATTTGAAGACCACAGGTGGTATCCAATTATAAGCTGATGGTTCACAGCCAATGACAGAGGTACCGTTCTGAAAGCAACTGCTACATTTATTTAACTTTTAAAAAAGAACAAAAACACATGTTTTACCTTAAACCTGTTCTGCTTTGTGATGTCTAGCTTATAATGCATGCCAAAGATCTGTTAGATACAAAGACTCATTTTACAGTCACTTTTCACTTTCAGTGACCGCATGGTGAGTGGTCGTTTTGTTTGACTTTTGCGTTATCTACCATTGTGTTAGGATCAAGATGCAGCTCTTGGATCAGTAAAATAACAAATTAAGCATGCTAGCTACCAGATTGGCTTTGAAGATGAAAAAGACACCATCTAAAAACAGGTAGTTGGAATCTGTGATGTGAATTTCAACATGCTAATGTAAGGCACATTAAAATCCAGCTATAAGCGGCATATATGTATTCTAGGCAACCATGGATGGACATAATGACAACAAAACCAAGGTCATTAAACTATACAAAACAAAGGCAATGACGTGTGTCTAAATGTACAGCACGGTGTGTGATTCAGAAGATACATCACGTGAATGTAACATGCTTGAGTTACTGGATAGCTTGAAAATACAACTTTTTTTCAGCCTTGTTACAACTTCATTTAATGCTTTAGTGATTTGCACAGGGCTTTACTCAGCTTTGTCGTATCCTCTATCTTCATCTTTCAAATGCACCACATTTCTCACATTTAAAGCACAGCCAAATAATACAGCCACAAACTTAAACAGAAACTGTTCAAGTTAAATGCAAAGTGTTTTACTTGGACCATCAGGTGCTGTGAGATATCAACATCACTATACAGGACCAATCATCTTTGTGTCTGGATTCTCTAAACCAATCAGTTGCTGTTTTTTACAAACGACTGCAGTTCTGTCTTTTAGACCTATTGCATAACCAACCTCCTCCCCACCTACACCTCCTGGGTGTCCAGGGAGCCTCCCCTCATTAGCCAGCTGCTGCATCTGCTCCCCCATCACCAGCATCTAGACTCTGAGATCCTGTTCAGTATCAATCTTCATTTGAACTTGTGCTTGGTAAAGATGTTTCACATCATTGGAATCTAATCAACACTTAGTGTCTGTGTCACCACCTCAATCAATGCTTGCTCAGATTCACACTTTTCTCTTATCCTTTTATCCTGCTATGATTGGCTGGCCCAACAACCCTGCTCTGAGAATGGTAGAGGTCATAATTATTTTACAACATCCATACACACCGCTTAATCCTCACTAAGGTCGGGGGGGGGGGGACACACAAACCGGCGACCTTCTTGCTGCGAGGCAACAGTGCTAACCAACTGCACCACCTTGCAGCATTTTACAACAGCTTGTGTTAAGTATTTGCCTACTTTTGTTAAATTAAAAAGGAACTATTTTTTGTCACTTACAGATAATTCCATTGTGTTGGCATTTGTACTGGCATCATATCAGTTGCTGCACATAAGAACATAATTATTGTTGAATGATATCCAGCACTGCCTGACAGTCGTGACAAATAACTGAATATTTAAAAATGGATAATTATGAATAAAATGTGCGTCACGTCTACAAGTGACAGCACTTTTGTACCTTGTGAATGTGAGTGGTGATGACACATCATCTGAGACCAACAAAACATGTCATGGTAATAAAGTCATAATTTATTAACACTAAATAACCATCAATTTATTGACAAAAAACATCTGGACTTCTAGGGAAGAATTTTTTTGTTTGCCATGTTGTTTCCACCAGGTAAAAGCAGCGTGTATGTCCAGTTTGGAGTTGGAGGTATACTAGCATTCTCATATTCAGCACGTTCACAGTCAGTCTTTCAGCTCTTGTCAGGTTGGTCCATGTCATCTGTGCTAAAGCTGAAGGGCTTATCATAACCCATTAGATGGTTGTAGTCATGTGGGATGGGGAACAAGTCCGGGTTTACCAGGAATCCGACATTGCCAGCATAGAAAGTGGTGAACATCTTGCTGATACCTGGAATCCTGACCTGCCTCTGGTGGAACACAGACTTTTTTTCAGTGAGGAAGAAACTGTAGGTGATGGCAGTGTAAGTGTCTCTGGCGTCGTCGTGGTACAGGCGGACCACATAGTTTTTGGTCATGAGGTGGAGAAGGACGGGAGTGAGGAAAGTAAAGAAGCCGATAACTACGCAGAAAGCGACCTGGAGGGCAAGGCTCTCGACTCCTAATCCACTTTTCAGGAGGATTTGTGGCATGATGACGAGGCTGGCCCCAGTGGTGCTGTAAGAAAAAAACTTCACCCCTGAAAAAACACAAGATTCACAAAGAATGTCAGGTTTTTACAGAACGGTATATCTAGAGCAGGGGGAGGAAGAGACAGGTGACAGATGAAGGGAAAACTTGACAGGTGTTTATGTTGGTGTAGCCATGTTTTTTGTTGTTTTTTAAAAACCATTATTAAAAAACTTTGTTACACACAACAGTGAATCCCCTACAAAGTGTACATATTTGGGATGATTTAATGCCTTTTAAGAACTTTACTGGTTTTATTTTGCATTCTAGTAATGTTGTTTACTTCTATATGCTAATGTCAGTGCAACAGCACAACACAGAAGACAGTCAGTTCTACTATCTAAATGAAAAAGTTAGTGTGGATATATATATCATTAATATATCATTATATATATATATATCATTAATAGCAAAAATCAGAGCATTAATCATTTGTCCCTCTATACCAGGGGTCGGCAACCTTGAACACTCAAAGGAGCCGTTTCACACAGAACAGAAAACACCAGGAACCATAAAACCATTTTTGACATCTAAAATGAAGATAACACTGCATATATCATTTTTTAACCTTTATGCTATGTATAAAAAACTATAGTGTGTTGCATCTATAAAATCAATGAACTGCTACAGAGAAAGCAAAAATGTATTTCTCCATGCAACAAAACCATTTTGAACTCAGAATAAAAAGATGCCAGGTTGAAGGGTGCTTTCAAAAAAGTACTCAATGTCTATTTGAATCCATCCATCCATTATGTATACACCACTTAATCCTCACTACAGTCGCGGGGAGCCTGGAGCCTATCCCAGCCGACTCTATTTGAATCCTACTTGTATATATGAAGTAAAAAGTCGAACTTAAATTATCCACCGGCAGCAGAGTAAAAATGACGTCTGGTTGTCCTGCTGACTGCAGCTGGGACTGCTGACCAGACTCCTGACCACCTGTGAGCGCTTTGGGACGGGAGGAGCTCACGACAGCATCACTGCTGGCTGAGGACAGTAACTGCACAACGATACGTGTTGTCACGTCAGAGTCTCAAAATATCAGAAAAGTCTCCAATAACACCATACAGCGTTGCTAGATTTGTTGCTTGTCCTTCTTGACCAAAAAACATTGCCAGGAGGGTTTGGAAAGTCGTCAGATTTAGCGAGAAAGTCGCTAAGTTGGCAACACTGCCTGTGCCTTCGGGTGACGCATATTTTGAGCGACAAAAAATGAAACGTATTTTATTTTAATGTTACAAGATCATCATAATCTTCAAATTTGGAATTACATTTTTAAAAAATAATGAACTAAAATAAAATAAATTAAAATTTAAGACTCAGTGTTTATTTTCCAAAGTCACAAGGAGCGGCAGCAGAGTTATGAAAGAGCCACATGCAGCTCCGGAGCCACGGGTTGCTGACTCCTGCTTGAAACAACCCTGATACTGGCTAAGATCCCTATTGTAATATCATTATTTTATTTACAATTTTGCTCTGCCTTCAGGATAGACACAACTCCTTTTAGGTATTCAATGCTAAACTCATGAAATAGAAGTATCTAACAGAAAAGACACTGGTAGGCAGTACTGGTGATATTCTGGTGGTGTGGTAAGTTGATGTGTTTTGAAAAGACATCCAGGATGGGTAAACTAATCTCAATTCATTCATATCTTACAAGTATCTATTTATGAATGAAGCTGCCACTACAACTTGTAGCCACCAGCTGACACAGTGACATCTGGTGGCCTGCATTGCA